TGGTGGTGGGCTGCTACAGGGCCCCCTCGGCTGTCAAGGACTCTTTATCGTCTTTGGCAAAACTGTTATCACAACTTTCCTACAAGGAAATAGTGCTGCTTGGTGATTTTAATTGGGACTGGTTAACTTCTGTGTCAGAGGATTTTAAAAACTTGTGTACCTCTTTAAATTTTACCCAGATTATAGACAGTCCTACTCGCCCAAATATTAAGTCCCCAAATAAATCCTCCTTAATTGATTTAATTTTAACAAATGTTCCACATAAATACTCATCTGTGGGAGTATTTGCTAATGATGTGAGTGACCACTGTGTTGTAGCCACAATTAGGGACACTAAGGTCCAAAAGGTTAAACCACGTATCATCACAAAGAGAGACAAAAAACACTTTGTGGAGCAGGGTTTTTTACATGATCTGTTTGATTTTGATTGGGGTAAAATCAATCTGTGTGCTGATGTAGAAACCGCATGGTCTTATATTTATCTTGGTTTTATGAAAATTATAGATAGACATGCACGTCTGCGTACATTTAGAGTGAAGGGACGAAACAATCCCTGGTTTTCTGCTGAGCTGTCCAGTCTACTTCATGAGAGAAATAATGCTTGGGCTAAGGCTAGGAAATCAGGCTCAGAGGTAGAATGGCTACGCTTTAGGCAGCTAAGAAATAGCTTCACATCTCAAATAAAAAGTGCTAAATCAAAGTACTATTTGTCAGTTACCACAGAAAACCTGAATAATCCTAGGAAATTTTGGAAAGCCATAAAATCGATTTCCACTGGTGATATCCCAAATGAGCTACCTCCGTGCCTCACCACAGCATCTGGCATTATATCAGACAGGGCTACTATGCTAAATTGCTTTAATAAGCATTTTGTGTCTTGTGGCTCTCTGTTTGATTCTGTCACTGACTGTACTTCTGCTTCTGTGAACGCTCCAATCCTTGACTCTGAACAATGTTGTCTGGAAAACCCTTTCAGTTTTACTCCTTTAACTATTGGTATTGTTCATGAAGCATTATCCAAGTTAGATCCTAGGAAACCGGCTGGCCCGGATAACTTAGAACCTTTCTTTTTAAAGTTAGCTGCAGATTTTATTGCTCCACCTCTCACTACTCTTTTTAACCTCTCCCTCAGCACAAATACAATTCCAAAAGTATGGAAGTCTGCTTATGTCTTGCCTTTACTGAAAGGAAGGGAGGCAAGCAACTATTTTAAATAACTATAGGCCAATCTCAAAATTGTCAGTTCTGGCTAAGGTGCTCGAACGACTTGTGAGTGAACAAGTAAAGGAGTTTTTATGTATAAATGATATCCTGTCTAAACATCAGTCAGGATTCAGAAAGAAACACAGCACCATCACTGCGACAATGAAAGTGGTAAATGACATTACTAGTATTTTAGATAATAAGCAGAGTTGTGCAGCTCTGTTTATTGACCTTTCCAAAGCGTTTGACACCGTTGATCATCGCATTTTAAAGCAGAGGCTAGCCAGTATAGGCATATCCAGCCATGCAGTGGGGTGGTTTGTAAACTACCTCTCTGAAAGGTCCCAATGTGTTCACTTTGATGGGCTGTCTTCTGAGTGGTTAAACATAGCTAATGGTGTTCCTCAAGGTTCTGTTTTAGGACCACTTTTATTCTCCATATATATCAACAGCGTAGGTGAAAATGTGGATGAAGCTACTTTACATTTTTATGCGGATGATACTGTGATGTATTGTGCAGGTCCCAAAGAGGCTGTTGTTAAATTACAGGCTGTTTTTAACACTATTCAGACTCAGCTCTCTGAATTAAAGCTTCTTTTAAATGTGGATAAAACCAAGGTAATGCTCTTTTCAAAAGCAAAAAAGACACCAGAGCCTGTTTTAGATATTGTAACTACGCAAGGAACAAAACTTGAAGTTGTTGCCTGTTACAAATACCTTGGTATCTGGCTTGATGATTGTCTCTCTTTTAAACTTCATGTCAATAACCTGCTTAAAAAACTAAGGGTTAGGCTAGGGTTCTTTTTCAGAAACAAGTCCTGTTTCTCTTTTGAAGCCAGGAAAAGGCTAGTCACTGTCACCTTTTTACCTGTGCTGGACTATGATGATTTGTTGTACATGAATGCACCTGCCAATTACCTGAGCAAATTGGATGCTGCGTATCACAGTGCTCTGAGATTTGTCACAAATTGTAAAGCGCTTACACATCACTGTACACTGTATGCCAAGGCAGGTTTACCATCACTCTCTGTACGGAGGCTCAGTCACTGGTACACTTGTATTTATAAAGCTATGTTGGGCAAACTCCCGTATTACATCTGTTCTCTGGTAAAGCAGAAAGTTGCAAGCAGCTATTGTCTGAGATCACAGGATGTAGTCTTGTTAGATGTACCAAGGGTAAGGACTGTTTTAGGTAAGACAGCTTTTATGTGCGCAGCTCCACTTGCTTGGAACAGCCTACAGTCCAAATTGAATTTGAGCAATTTTATTTCTCTGAATGTTTTTAAGGCACGTCTGCACGAGATGCTTTCTGACACTATGGGTGTTTGTAAGTGTTGGTAAATATGATGTCCTCTATTGTTTGTTTTTATGTTTCATGTGGAACTAAATTGATGCAGGTCTCCCTTGTAAAAGAGATCCGTGATCTCAAGGGACCTATCTGTCTAAATAAAGGTTTGAAATTAAATGAGAAAGATATGGTGGGGTCATGCCATTTAGGGATTTAAAAGTAAACAAAAGGATTTTGAAATGAATCCTAAAATGTATTGGCAGCCAGTGGAGCGAAGCCAAAATGGGGGAAATGTGATCATATTTCCGTTTGCCAGTTAAAAGCCTTGCTGCGGCATTTTGCACCCGCTGCAGACGAGCAAGGGAGGACCCACTGACCCCCATGTAGAGAGTTACAGTAATCCAGCCGAGTGGTGACAAAGGTGTGGATTACTGTCTCAAACTGCTGTCTGGAGAGAAAAGGTTTTACTTTGGTTAGCTGCCTCAGGTGATAAAAGCTTGTTTTTACCACAGATTTAAATCTGACTCAAGTTTTAGTTCACGGTCCATTTTAATGCCAAGGTTCGTAATGGTGGGCTTGGTGTACTGAGCCAAGGAACCCAGGTCTACAGAAGTGGTGCCAGTGGTGCTACCAAAAACCATTACTTCTGTTTTTCCTTCATTCAGTTTTAGGAAGTTGCACGCCATCCAGGCCTTTGTGTCCTCTAGACACTTTAGCAGTGGGCTAATTGAGTAACCCTCCTTCTTTGTTAGTGGGACATACATCTGGCTATCATCAGCATAGCAGTGGAATGCGATGCTTCAGATATGACCAGGGGCCTCATTTATAACGCTGTGCGTAGGATTCACGTGGGAAGGTTGCTTACGTAGTAGAAATCCAAAAAATAGGTACAGAACTTTTCCGACATTTTCCGATTCACAAAACATTGCGTACCGGCGAGGAAAGTGCGTACCGCACTTCCTACGCCGGTTTCCCTTTATAAATCACAATGACTCGAAATGCGGTGCAGCTTTTGCGGGCTTCACGTAACGCCCATATTTGCCTATAAACAGTCAAAGAAACGCCCATTCATTCATTCATTTTGACTGACTTTATGAAGAAGATCGCAGGAAATGACGACAGAACAGCTAAAAAAGACATCTCACACCGTGTCAGATTTGGGTTATTTTTGGGAGGTGGAGATAAATCATATTGTTTGGTGGATGCAGTTTGAACCAGAGTAGCAGCATGGAGATCGGATCGTCACCAAAATAAATAAATAAGTGATCCGAAAAAGGTTCATGACAAAATAAATACACATAGCCTTCCTCAGGCAGTGTTTGTACCGGGGACAGGAGACCCCCCCTTGATGAGAGACTGTAAGAAATGATCGGGGAATCCCTCCGGAGTGGAGTCATGACGACTGGATCTGAATTATGTTTTTGTATTTTGTGGTTTGTGTCCCAGCTGTCGATCAGCTGTGCGCAGTGTCTCCACTGCAGCCTGTGCATCTCAACCCCCCCCCCCCCCCCCCCAACTCTATACCCACCAGGTAAATGAAATACAACAATGTGTTGTGTTACATTAGCTGTACAATTGACCACATACTGTATGGTGTTCTTAGTTTCCTCACGTCTTGGCAAACGGCATAAAACACGATTAAACATGACGGTATATAAAACTATGCTCGTATCTACAACCTATAGAAAAGCAAAACGGCGTCAGTTTAGACGTAATTCTGTCCTTCTGCTTACCGCATCATTTATGAGAAAACATTTCATAACATTAACACAACATATTCCAGGTGGTTTTAAATAACATATCCGTATTTATTTATTTCTACAAGTTATGTTTTTGTGTGCACTGAGGAGTCTCAAACAGGCGTTTGTTTAATCATTTTAAGATTGGCTTTAATCAATTTGTGAAAATGAATTCTTCATATATGATAAATGAGAGGTAACATTTTGTTTATGGTATTATTTCCACATATTTCTCTCCATTCTTCCTTCTGCCAACGGTGTCGCAGTTTCTCGTCTCTCCCGTTTTTGTGCTTAGTGCGTACGCATGGGTTAGAGTTTGCGTGGAGGACCGCACATTTTCCCGTCAAGTTAGTATTTTATAAATCTCAAACATTGCGTAGAAACTGGCGTACGCCATTTTTTGGAGCGTATACCCCTTATAAATGAGGCCCCTGAACCTTTCCAGGGCTTTCCCCTCAATGCCCCACCCACTTCTCCAAGCGAGAGATCAGGATGTCATGGTAATATTGTGTCAAATTGGTTTGGCACACAGAGGTGGTTCTCCACAGAAGTTGTTCACCTTATGGTACCGCAGATTTTATGAATTTGTGTCCGAAAAATAATTAAATAACCACTTTGTGTTCTAACACAATGAAGGACTTTGGTTCAGCGAGCCACATTTTTCAGTTAACAAGCCCATAAGAGAAGATTTAATTTGAGTTCAAAATGTATGAGGATCGCAGGTCCTGAGGAATCAGATGAATAGTTTAATAAAGAGATGTATGCCTCACCCCTCCAGGGTTGCCGTCGGAGGCTGTGACAATCAGACGGTACTGATCTGTGGTCTCTCTGTCCAGAGGGTCTCTCAGAAGCAGAAGGCCAATCCTATAGAGAAGGGTCATAGAAGAAACACATATCACTATTACACACATCAGACAAACAAACACAATACAGGACATTGTGTATTTAAGTCCTCACATCTCTTGTTTGAGTCATATGAAGAAAGAGCATTCATTTAAAGGGATTTATTTCCCTATAAATGTTGAAATACTTGATCGCTGATGCAACAGAGTGTGAGGGAGAGGGCTACACTTCAGACTTTATTTACTTCCAGATAAGATGGATGTGCAAAATATGGTTGCTGATAAAGGAGGATGATTTTTAGGCAAAGAGCAGGTGGGCTTTTAAATGCTCCCACTCTGTCTTTCTCTTTCTGTAGCCTGCCTCTTGCTCCCCAAGCACATGGACTACAGACAGAAAGATTCATGTTTTCTTTTTTAAATGACTGCAGCAGACACAGCGGCCCTCCTGCTCGTTCAAAAGGTATAATTTGGCATTCCACAGTGTGGATGCATTCCAAAGCAGGACGCTGAATTATCTTTGTTTTCACACACAGGCACCCAAGACACGTGAGTGCAAGTGCATGCTCAAAACACAGCGTGCACAAAATAATTCCACTACCACACTCAAGAGAGGCTCTGCCAAAACCGCAAATGGAAGGGAAGCCGAATGCATCTAAACGCACTGCTAGATTAATGCCTGCTGCAATTCCCTGCTGTCCCCTTGCTCCTTCACATTTCTAATTTAAAGCTCCTTTGACCAAACAGTCCAGGCAGAACCACGCTGCTGCTTCTTCCCTGGCTCTGCGGTCCATAACCATCCAACTATAGAGCCTCATCTTTACAATCTGACAAGCACCATTACAGAAGCCTCCATTTACATTGTCTATTTTTCAATGCACTTGCCCCCTAGTTTCGGTGGACACGTTGCTTTCAATCGAATACATTTGATGGGCGGTTCAAAAGGGCAAACACAGCTTTCTAACAACACTATAAAATGCAGCACAGCATCCTTCACTGGCCGCTGTGCTCATGTTTATTTATACATAAGCACAAGAGTAAAAAAGATAGGCCACTCTGTGCTCAATGAAGCTTAAAGTAAAGGAAAGTGATGTGAATAAGATAATGATGATATACAGTGATAATTGTCATAATTACGGTAATAACGATGATGATCTTGATGCTCATGATGACAAAGATAAGATTGATTAATGCCACTAAGGCAGCCTGGGGAGTTTGTTCCTCACTGCAGCTGGAGTGCAGAGCCACACTTGAGCAGCTGGGTCTGAGAGGTTCACTGATCATGGGAGATAGCGTCCCGCCTCTTCTCCCCAGCCACCACAAATGAAAAGATGTTGTCAGACTGACAGGGTGCTGTTAACACCATTGCATAGAGCGACAATGGTGCAGGTTAAAGGCTATGCATCTGAGTCACACTTAGTCAGTCTTTCATTCTGCTCAGATTGTGTCTCTGAATGGTAAATTGGGCTTTATGTACAGGACTGCCAGGTGGCATCAATGTTTTCACCTCTGATACAACAACTTTGATATGCTAACAATCACTTAAAATAAGATTAGGACATTAGAGACAATTATACTCTTATTACACTCCAATTATATCATTTTCAAAAATCTTGTTTTGTGTCAATTTAATGAGAACTGAGTAACCTGTGTATTTTCAAATTCTAGCGCACTCGAGTTGGTTTCTCCAAAATGACCTACCCCACCTTTAAACAATTGGGATAAATACATATTTTCCAGTATAATAATAAAGATGTCAGTGTTTAATGGAAACCATTTTATTTTGTTGAAATGACTAGACACAACTTTGACCTTGGTCTGGCTTAAATGTCAGTTTTAGTGTGGTCATCAGGCAGAAACGTTCCAGTAACTTTTTGAATCAGAGATATATTTTGCGAGCATAGTATTCAGAGTCAGTGTAAGAAAAGTATACTGAAGATGTGACTTAGGTGATCATCACTCCCAGCAGACCTGGGACTTCACAAGAAATACTCCAGACTTGTTTATGATGTGTGACCCCTCTGCAGTTAAGTATGTCCTTACTGAATACTTTCTGTATAGCGACTGGTGGCTGACAGACTCTGAGCCATTGATTCAAGGCTGTGACATGCTCTCTACTATAATGGTGAGTGAGTCTGAAGCATTCCCATCTTTCCCTAGGAGAACCTGCCACATTTATAGGTTGTTATAGACTTGAGAGTTCATTATTCATAATAGCTGGATTGAGCCAACCTCACAGCCTGAATGCAAACGATGCAGCAATGTGAAAATCCCTTCACTGAATCATACCAAAGTCCTGAGTGGTTGAAAAAGGAGAGCGTGAAGTTGGGCTCTGTAGTGCACACTCATCAAGTGTACGAGCTAATCATGATTTGATTCATCATGTGCTCGATCAGCACCTGTTTTGCTTGAAGTTTATATATTGCGAGGTTGCCGAGAGCCTGTGATGGGATTGTTATATTTCTGCCACACAGAGAATGCATTAAAAGGATGTGTAACTATCTCAACAGGATTTAAGTTGTATCTGGTATAAGAGATTACAGTGCCAACAATCGGTATCTCCCATTGTTTCATCGTGTCATTGCTGCTATAGCCGCTTTGGAACCATAAAGTAAAAATCCCCCCATTAAACAAACAAATCTAAACAGTGGTGCAGATTAAAAGGAAACAAAAGGCAGGGATACTCTGCTGCAACACGGCTTGGCCTTGCATAGCTGAAAGACTGGGGATGGAGACAAAAGAGGATTTAATCAATTAGAGAGAAACGTGTATGGCAGGGTCCTGCAGTTTCAGTCTCCCTGCGTCTCTTCCCTCCATATTTGCTGGCTTTTTGATGTTAAAAAGCACTGACCACTTTAATAAATCAAACCTTTTCCTTGCTCCCTGGGTGAGTTATTCAAATGCAAAGGTTGATTACAGAAGGTAAGGTCAGATGTTTGTTGCATATATTAACTGAACTCATGTCATTATTTGGGTATCCAAACGTTATCTTACTCCTGTTGTTTCTGTCTACTTTACATATGACATCCACTGCAGTGATATTCCTCCCAGGTTTGTCTTTCAGTTTTGTTTTCACTTCCTAAAGCTATACAGATTTCATGTCCCTCTTTGGCAAATTAGTGATTTGTGACCTTGGGCTATCCACAAATAATCACCTAAGGCAATTTGTGAGCGTAAACAGGTGTGCTTTTCAACTTGATTCATTGGGATTTCTGATGGTGACAGCAACCAGTGCCAGTGTTCATAAAACAAAGGATAAATTGGCTCATGAATCAGCCAAACCCAATTATTGGTAAGTCAGCAACTAGTCCCCACCCCACAGCCCCATTCGCTCTTGCGGTCTATATCATCAGAGGGAAGGTAATGATGATAGACAGACCCTGACTGGTTTATCTGAATGGCCATCACGGTGAAGGAAGGAACACCATGGCTCAACATTTTTTTTACTGTGTGTCCATATATGTCCTTTGGACTTGAAAAACAACATTAAACACAAATGCTTATCGAATACTTTAATAGTAGAGTTGTCCTTGTCCATGTGTCCATGCGATAAAACAGCCAGTGTACACAACGGAGTTGCCTTGTTGCTAAATAAATACAATATTGATAGACTTTCAAATTGATGTCACAGTTGAAGAGTGCCCTTGCAGAACTATATCACAATAATGACATGCCAACCTAGCACAGCATTTTGCATCCATTCGTTTTCGATACAACACTTATGTTCAACTTGCATTAAGAAATAGATGAGGCAAAACACATATAGACAAGCATATTCACACCAACAAACTAATTACAGGTTAATGAAGTAACCTAAATGTTGTTTAACTCTGAGAGGAAACAAGAGACCTTGGATGAAACCCATGCAGACCCAAAAAGGACATGCTTTTCCCTATTCCCATTTTATAACCCTTTTAGGAGCTTATGAGAAAAATGCCATTCATTCATAATTGACTAGCCTTTCCATCCATCCATACAACCCTTCTCAAGTTTGCCTTGGCTAACACACCTTATGAAGCTCCATCTACTAAAAAAATGTCTAGACTTACGTTTCAGAGAGGTTGAAGACCTTCTGGGAATCCCCACTCACAATGCGGTATGTGATCGGGTCATTTTCTCTGTCTGTGGCCTAGCGGAAGGAAAAGAGGAGCAGGATCTTGAAGTTCAAAATAGTGCCATTATAGTTGAAGACTATGAGATATGACAGCTGGGCAACTAGGAAGCTGCAGTGGAGTGCACTAGAGAGCACAGGATAGTGAAATATGAAAAAAGGGAGAAAGGTTGCTGACACTACAATATGCCTTATTGACAATTCAATCAAACAACAGCATGATACTGATTGCCTCATTACATTTAAAATATCCTTATTTGCATGTGCAGATTTGTGGGTTAGAGGCTCACCTGTAGATTAAGCAGAATGGCTCCAATCCTCATAGCCTCGCTGATTTCCAGGTTGTATGTGAGGAGAGGGAAGCGTGGAGGGCTCTGGTTGTTGGGAGGCAGAACCTCAATGTAAACTGTAGTGATTGAGCTCCTGGCAGAAAGAAAAGCACACATCAGCCCAATGACAGCACTAGTTTATCCTCGAAACCTACAGTATTGAGCCGTGATGAAGTGCCGTGCCCAGAGCAAAGTGAAAAAAGTGTTATGATTTATAATGTTGATCCTAGAAAAAAGTCAACAGGTTTTGATCGCATTTATTTCAAGTGGGATAGTTATCTGGGACACCGTTACAATTAAAGTTTTTTTTTTACATTCCTAAATGTCACACACAAAATACAAGCCTTTTATTCATGATTTGTTATGTTTGAAAAACCTACTTCCAGAGAATTAGCCTGCTTGTTCTCGGTAAGTCACCGCAGGAAACATTTAAATGGAACTGACTGCCTTTATCATTTATTCATTCATTGTGACATATTTTGTTGAACTGCTAAAGGTACATGTTAAAAATGATCTGACAAGCTGTCATTATGTCAGCCAGTAGCCTGCATTAGTGATGTTGTAATCCTGGACAGTGTAAAATGTCTTAGCCAGTCTTACTAAGATGAAATAAAAAAAGGCCCCTATTGCTGCCCCCCCCCAAAAGTGTTATACTTCGAGGTTGAGAAGTCACAATAGCAAAAAATGTTTAGTCATTGTAGTCATTTCTTTATAACTGGTAACTTATAAAACTGAATTTCTCCCTTGGGGGATTAATGAAGGTTCATCTTCTTCTTTTTATACATTTGTATAAAGTCCATACTTCTCTCTAAAATGTCTATTGTCACTACATCTGCTGAAAATCTGCTTCTATAAAAAAAAAAAAAACTGTAACTATACCAATCTGTAGCCAAATAATTCATTAAATTCACCCTGGCATCGTGATGGCATAATTCCAGGATAAAGAGGAGATATTGTATCCAACAAATCTCATACCAGGTTTGTTAAAGTGTTAGATAAAAAAATACCATCTGTGTTTTGGCTCAGAAAAGTTTGTGAGAATTGTTATTTTGTTTGGTAATTTACCCCAGAGAAAACTCTGTAAGATTCAAAAGCTAACTTGTGAATAAATATGAAAAAATATTGAATAAAATAAAACTCTTTGCAACCCTGAGAAGACACACACAAAAACACTGAAACAACTAATAATGTTTCAATTAAAGAGGAATTAATAGCACCTCATATTAAATACACTTCATTCAACTGATGCCGACATTTTGTTCAATGTTCAAATGAATCACTCTTTAAAAGAGAGCTACTACAACACAATACCTTCTCTGGATCTCTGGTGCGTTGTCAGAGGCCTTGACGGTCAGAGCGTAAGATTTTCCCACAGTTAAAGTGATACCAAGAGCCACAGTGATGCGTCCAGTGCGGTTGCTGATAATGAAAATTCCCTGGGCACCTGCCAGTATCTCATAGGTCACCTGACCATTCAGTCCCTCATCAGTATCTGTTGCGGTTAACTGGGAGAATGGACAGAGAACAAGAGACAAACATAATTTTGTTTTGATATTTCGGTGTGTTATAGCTGCCAGCAAATTCCTCACTGAACCTCAGCAATTCTCAGCAGGGGGTTCGGACTGATTTGAAGTGCTACCAGAGTATTGAAGATGAAAAGAAAAAAAGCACAATTTAAATATATATAATATCTGGCATAGTTTGTTATCAAATGAATTAGGTAGACACAATTTACTTCCAAGTCAATTATTGAAGGCACCCCGCTGCTTTTAATTATGAACCATCATGATGCAGTTGGCTTTATATCTTTAAGGCCTTGAAACTTTAATCCGAGCTGCCCAGACCTCCTCTTCTCATGCTCCTGACATTGGAGCAAAAGCTGTAGCATCAAATAAGCGGCAGCATTCTCCCGGGGCCTGAGGCTCTCATAAACGGCTTATAAAAATCAGTTAAGCGGTCGTTCCCAACACTCTGTGACCCCTGGCCTCATTTCAAGGAGGGCGAAATGGCTGATTTTTAAGGCAGATTAAACTTGACCTTTTCTGCGTCTGACATTTTCTTAGAGAGGTTTTGCTTAGAGGACAGATCAACTGAAAAAAGAAAAGATCATGCACTGACTACCAAATAAAGGACAATAAAATGATGAAACCTTCCAACATAAATACAGATATAGCAGGGGTTACATTTACATTTTTAGAGGCTGTGAGTGCATATACAGTACAAATACATACAGTATGCACATCCTGACACATGTCCTGTGCATATGAGATTGCTTTTAGTTGGTATTAGTATGGGTATATGTGCATGTATGGAGGCGTGTGGCACAGTGGACTAGTGTGTTGGTGTTCGGATCAGGGGGTCACACAGGTTCAAACCCCACTGCAGTCAGCATGTCGTTGTGTCCCTGGGTAAGACACTTCACCCCAAATTGCTCCTGTGGGGATTGTCCACAGTATTGAGTATGTAAGTCACTTTGGATAAAACATGTACATACATGTAATGTAATTAAACAAAAGGGTAAAGGGACATGCATGACCTTTAAAGTGCTTTAATTAAATAACATAAACAATATTCCAAATCCATTAATGTATTCAAAAATATGAAATTACATCTTGGTTGCAAAATCCTTTTTAAGCAAGGGGAAGGATTGATTAACGGCCATCAGTAATGCCTACTGTTATAATGTTGTTATCTTCAGCCATCACAGGCAGCTGATCTGCTGGATAAAAGGTTTCCCAGGCATGTGGACAGAGAGACACATTCACCTTGGACTTATCTGTGATGACTGCAAGGGAGAGGAAGGGAACTGTTCCAGGAGGTCGCCTGTCAACACAATGCACTGGATTGCGGTGCTTATATTTTTAACATTGAGCATGAAAGAACGGGAGTGTGAGAGATTCTTTACAACGGGACAAAGATGGAGGCGTAAAGCACAGTGCCAGAGCAAAAGAGGAGAAGAGAGGGAGAAATTCAACAAAGGATTGTTGAAATGATTACCTGTAGAACCGTCTCCCCGGGTTGCATGTCTGTGAAGACTTCAACGCTGTAGGAGACCTCGGGAAACGTGGGCGTGTTGTCATTGGCATCAATGACCAGGGATGTTCACAGTGACCGGGGTACTCTGCTGGACGCCATCCGATGACACCATCTGTAGACAAAATAAATATAAATACATACGTATATTGTAGTATTGTAGTATTGTAGTAAACAAAGTCTGTATATTTGGGAAATAAATCTGAGGACTGATTTATTTATATTCAAGCTTATGCTTTCAGGACTGTTTTGCTTTGAAAAGACAACCCAAGGTTTTTTTTCCACCGTCATTAAGTCACTTACACTTTGCCTTTGTATTCAGTATGTTCATCTTGCATTTCCTTAACGTTGGAAATGCCTTTAAAGAGATAAGATAAGAGGGCTTGTATAAAGCTTGACTAAAGGACAGTTTGCAAACTGAGCAACCTGAATGGTTATATAAGCCCTTGGCAGCTCTGATCTACTTGGCAGAGACGGAGAAAATGGACTGAGAACAATACATCAAGTGTGAAGAGAGAGAAATCTAAACAACTGTGGCAGGAAGCAGCAAAATAATATGGGACATTGGTTTTCCTCCAGAATTTGAACTCAGGCCCTAAAATGGTTTTGATGTACATCAGGAAGATTCCTTTAGTAGCAGAGCTATACATTTCCAGAACAGAAGCTTCTTTCTCTCCTTACAAACCGTCTCTCTTTCCTTAGCCAATCGTATGAAGGGAGAAGGCCAGAAACTGAGTCTCACAGATCTATGTGAAGACACTCCAAATTACACACATGTGCTGACACATCTATGCACATATACGCGGAACAAATGTAAACTTGTTCCTTATCTCTCTCTTCCTCACTCACACAAATAGTAAGAACCGACACAAATAATAAACAATGAAGGGCTGATATTATCTAAATTCGATCTGGGTGTACACTCTCCCTCCAGTCCAGGATACAAAGCGTAATTATACATTGATGTGATGCTTCTTTACGCAAAACAAGATTCTTCTCTTTGAAAATCTCATAGACAACATTATCTTCAGAAAAGCAAATGCTTTCAAAGCCTCTGTACTATGTCTAATTACAATCATGTTAACAAGCTTTAAGCAAGACAACATAAAGCAATGCATAACTTGTATTATTAGAGAATGAAACGTGATTTAATACATTGTGTTGATTTATGTACTCGTGAATTGGACTAGTTGTATGTTAGATTTAGATACAAAGGCAGGTTGTGAAATGTCAGTTTGGATATTTCTGCAGCCAAACGCAGAGAAAGCAGGATATCAGCAGCTGGACAGAAGGTCACCTGCATTTTGCACAACATGATATGTGTTAAACTGAGGAGAATACTATTAGGTCAGAGTTACACGGTCAAGTGCAGTAGGTCTTAGTAGGACATCTTTACTGATAAATAGAAGAGAAACAGAATCAGATAGAGGGACGACTACAACAATTCAGTTCTTATTTATGAAAATATTAAAAACTCTGATCCAAGTGTACTATAGGTATCGACCGGTATCCAGTTTCACAATTTTTTGAGGCCAAAATGTAATGCAAAAATCTTCAGTATATTATTATATTATCAAACTTTCCTGAACTGTTTATTATTATTGCTAAATATAGAACAATCACTGCTCACATTCCTTACAAAAACACATTTCCACCCTGGTAAACGATAAATAAATATATATTATTTTCTATTTAAAACACAATATTGAACCATTGAAGTTTATACATAGTGTGTGTTCCTTAGTTTACCACTTAATGTAAACTATGATTTCTGACATGGTTTATAAAGCATTTAATAAGCAGCCTACCAAATGTTATCAGTCAGCCTGCAACACACAGTATTTCACATAACAACAGTTAGCAAAAAAATATGTATAATATAATAGGATATATTCATGATGCATTATGGGCCAACATAGAAACATGTTTCAACAACCACCACTTCAATATTCACCAGGCAATGTACGTCATATTTATTTTGTATTGAAACACTGATGTGGAGGATGAGAGATGGAGAGGACGATCCTGCTGATTATCCTGGAATAGAATATTTCCCTTACATCTGACATTGAATGCAGAAGTCCTTCTAAGGAGCTGTATTGAACTGTCACCACTGCAAGTGATGCATATTGTGATGCACACTCTAATGTGGATCCAGAGATTCTTTATTCCTCATGAAAAAGAAACCCAATAAGAGACAAACCTGCAGTATACTGGACTACAATTGAAATATTTAATAGATTAACAAACATCAACTTTATTCACACAGGGTGAGGTTACAATTATTACATTTGACGGGCTGAAAACAGCACATTCTGCCTCTTTTTGCATTAAAAGTGTGTTGTCAAAATAGTTGCAGATTATCCGTCCACACATTCTTCTCACATAGAACATTCCATTGATGTAAAAACCAACCCAAACAAACCTAGCATTATATCTCAATCTACAGTGATCCGAATCATCCCCGTTCAGAAACTCCCTCACTGTCCAGGGAACCGTTCCCACAGATCTCACTGCTGGTTTGCCAATGCTCTCTAATCCACAAGAATACCTCTGGGGAGGGGGCTAATCTATTTCCCAAGATGCTGCCATCCCTCTGAGCAGCGCAGAAACAAGTCACTATGGTAAACCAGGCTGTAAACCCACTAAAAACACCATACATTAAGAAGATTAATAAAACGTTATCAAGATTATAAGTAACACACTCCAGAATCCTAATGGAACATGAAAGTAGCGGCAGAGTTCAGTGAGACTGAACCATGTCATATATTAAAAGATTAGAGCGTTCCCTCAAAATGTACTCTCTGTGAGAGGATATTTTAATCCGATCTGTGTACTTAGAGGTCCTCAGTCGTTCTGTAAAAATGTTAATCACAAAGTTATGCTTTTTGGTAAACCGCATATATTCCTGCCTGTAATGTGATCCTGTGTGTAACTTCTCAGGAAGACACAGGTCAAGAGGTCATCTGATTTCCTGTGGGGGAGAAGCTTGGCTCATGTGGGTTTGCAATGCAACGAGTCTTTGTCTCTCTATCTGGCTTGCATTAAAGGAAAACCCGCGTGTTTTAGGGCCCTCCTCTTCTCATGTATAGATGTGTTCCTGGCTCCTTTGTCTTCAGAGTTTGCCTGGTGTCCCACAAATAAGTTGTGCATATACCTTGTGAATTCTCCGGCCGTAATATACTTTCAATAAATGTCAATGTTTGACTAAGGCGAATCCAGCTTCCAGTCCTTTCACGAGCATTGGCTCAGCATTGATAACAGAAGTTTTCCTTACACTCTCAATATGTCTCTTCAAAGGAATAGGTTGATAACTTTGAACGCTTAAATCCAAAAGGATTTTATTTTCTCTAAATGTTACACTAAATAGTATGTATATATACTGTATGTCCAGTACATAGCAAGAAGTCAATCAAAAAGAGAAATGCCTACAAGAACAGAACTTTGTTCCATGGGTAAAACAATCTGGCAAGGCACCAGTGATTATTAACATGGTAACCCTAAACAAACAACATATAACTCTAATAGTATCATACTCATTCAGAATATAGTGCATTCGTGTGTAGAAATATTTCACAAATGGTTTCAGTATTAATCAGTTTTAAATGTTTTGTGATCTGACAAACTTGTTTGTGTCTTCTATATTATTAGCATATTTATTTGCATGGATCGTGTTTACTTTTTTGCCAGTGCTATTTGCAGTTTTTTTATTCTTTGCATTGTAAACTTTAAGTTGCTAGTGATAAGTCTAACTATATGCACATATATGTATATCTATTAACTGTATATAGAGATTAACATGAGACAGATGTTGAATATTCTTAGGTTCATATTTGAATAGCAGTCAGTAAAACAAGTGAACAGACTGTTGTACTTTACTGTTGATAAAGGTCATATTGTTGCAAAAGTGTCAGGCCAGCTTTGTGTCTACGGGTGCCTCTTGGTATAAACCTAACCTGTGAGTTCTATTTCTAAACACAGAATAGGAGATGTAGGTCAAAGGGCGTGAGTGCTGTCTTGTGGATAGAGACCACTGAGTCTGAGGCCTACCGTGAAAGTATAGACCATCTGCTGCTCCCGATCCACAGGTTGATCAACTCAGGTAGCGGATTATCCCAGTTGGGGTCAGGCTGAAGATCGTGGTGTAGTCATCCAGGGTAATCTCATCAAGGGGTCTTTTGTCTTCCAACAAAAATATATACAGAAAGAAACAAGTACCATGGTGACATGAGTATTTCATCACCTTTGTTTTTCAAGGCCGCAGCTGTGGGGATGGGAAAACCTATCAGTACGTTTTGATCCGTCAAGAGTTGAAAAAGTAATCTCCTGCAGGTCCCTCATCTATCTTAAGAAAACAGCGGAGAAGGAGCTGAGGAGGGGAACAAGAAACCAATGTTTTGATACACGATAGTATCAAGAAAGAGAGGAAATCACTTCTGCTAAAACAACTTACAAGCATTACAGCCTCTGATGCTTTTTAGGGAAATATATCGACCACATTAAGCAGTCGTTAAAAGGTATTGGTTTAATAGCTTTTGTTTAGGGCATCCAGGTACTAAATAAGATTGAAAACATTATAAATAAAGTTCCATTTATCCAAAGATGCCTCATCACTGATGTGGTTTGATTGTGTTACAAATAGACCTCGAGTCCATTGTGGGCCATTGCTGCTAGTCGGCTTCGATTCCCGTCCATCAATGAGTCCTCTTAAGAGAGTTTGGTAAACATCGGGACTGGGTGGCTTATTGATTTTGTTATCTCTGCTTCCACTCCACTATGATTTGTTAATCTTCTCCGAACACGGAATAAAGGGTTTTGTGAAAGATTAACTAAAGGTAGTAGTCATTTGTTTTGGTCTGTGTGTGTTTTGAGACAGTGTGTATCCACCCATTCAAACATAATCTATCAGTGCAGTTAGGATATGAAGAACATTTAAAGCATTCTCCGCTGTGGTTTGGTGAAGACACACACACACACACACAGCAAAGTGCACCCACACAAACACACAGTTTGTTAAATGTGTCAAACAAATATGTCAAAACACCCCCTTCCACCAACTACACACACAACAATCAATGAAAAATATTTTGAAGTTGGTATTCAAAGAGAATAATTCCATCAATTCTGACTGAAGATATAGCAGAAACCACAGCAACAAACACCCATCTGCATAGAAAGAAGAAGAACACTGCACAGCAAAACACTGCAAACAAAAACACTCCCATTAGAATAAAGAGTCAGTGCATCTAGAGACTTGCATTGCATTTAATCCTATGATTTTCATTATTTTGAAATATTAATACAAAACAAATCATTTCTGCTGTGGACATTTGGCAGAAACAATGGAAAGCTAAACATGTAATAGTTGGGATGTCTCCAGCAGCAGATTAGTGTTATCAGTTTGTTTTTACTTTGTGCGAAATGATGTATCAAATAAATCTAGGGATGTCTCGAGTTAGTTTAAGAGCAGGGATCAAGTTTATACAAGACTTTCTTCTTCATGGATTAGTGTACTATCCACTTATAGTATTTTGTTTATAAAACGTATTGAGCTCAAGGTAAGCTACAAGTGTTTCCCCTTTAAAAACACTGTAACGAACCACTTTCTGTAGCAGAGGCGTAGGACTAATTATTCATCGATTTCAAGTTGCAATTTGAAACATGTGGTTAGCTAATTACAAACCTGTGATGTAGGATACACAGTGTTCACTGCTTGTGATCCAGGGTTTAAATTGTTTCATTAAAACATCATACTATCCTGTTGACCACACAGAGAGAGTATTGCCCATGGACTAAGAAAGTGCAGCTGGAGCCTGAAAGAAGACGGGTGTAGAGTGTGCATCACAACTGATAATGGATCAAATGTAACCAATGCTGAGGAACTAAATCAATGCACCAGGCTTCAGTGGCGGCCAAAGGCTGCATCATGTGATTGATAATTGCAGCTCTCTGTTCAGTAATTTCTGCTCGTCCTCAGTGTTTTGTTTGAATTGCTTTATGTTTTCTTTATCAGAAATTGCTCGGAAAGACGATGCAACACTTAATAGGGCAACAGGATTTTGTAAACAGGCTATTTCTTGCACAGTTTTTGTGAGAAGGCCACACTGAGTGAGAAACAGCAATAATTAAATCTGCCAGAGCACTCACAGAGCACTCACACAATTACAGGGTTTCCAACAAGATGGAGTTCAGGGCAGAGGATGATTGGGAGGGTGTAGGAGCAGAGCAAAGCCTCGTCTCAGGCACGGTCTGAAGAGAGTCAACGAAGCAACTGTGACCAACTTGTCAGGATGTACAGTGTCGAATCAATTAACATGTCCCTGTGTCCTCTCCAGGATTTTACACATGCCCTCTCTGTTGTAGCGCATGTAAGGATGTCATACCTGAAGCTAGTTCTGCATCTTCCAAGAACATCAACTCTTGTTGAAAAGGACGAGAACACAGACAAAGACACATGTTCGCAAGCAATAAAGTCAGAAGCCCTTGGCTACTTGGAAGCTAAATATAGCACTAGGAGCTTATCGACATTACTTTGTTCATTGATCCAAGATTTAAGATTAACTACATAAGCGTGAGACTCCCAGGCAGTGTGTGAAGATGAGGAGAAATAGGTGATCCGGAAGTTAACTCGTCTTCTTCTGTATGTGTTAGTTAGTGGAACAATGACAATATGCCGCAGCGAAGACCAAACAAACAAGACAAAACAGATGTGTTTTACAGCGAGCATTTTGTTTGAGGTGGAAATTAACAGAAAGTATCTTGAAGTAAATTATACCACGCACGCACTGCAAGAGGCTGTAACATTAAATATTCTAAGAACGGAGAGTTTTTGAGTATTGAAATCCTTTAATTGAATTGACTTTATTGACTTAAATGGAGGCCTGCTTTAAGCTGTTTAGAGTTCACAGAGCAGCTGTATAATGCAAGAAAACATAAATATTGGATTCACCTCTGTATCAAAAGATATGAATATAATACTACAACAGTTATTTTTTAATGGACTAAAGTGGGGGATTAAGTGCAAAGAAACATGTTCGGGACATCCCTATTACACTCTGTATGTTTCTATGTGTGTGAGTGTGTGCCATTGCATCTAAGAGCAACCCCCTTTACCTACAGGTGTATCACCAGGATCCAGCTAAAACAAGGAGAAAAATACAGCAGGAAAATGAGTCATGAATGTGAAATAAATATGAACTTGTAAACAATATATAATCAAATGCACCACATGTGCTTTGTATTTGAATGCACACATTTATGGGTGGGCATGTGTTAAGTGCAGGGTGCCTTGTAAAGGTTCTTGCTTTCTACCTCCTCAATGTCATTATCCAGAGCGATGATTCCCAGGGGCGCGGTGAGGTTGGCACTGGCGGAGATAGTCGTTCCCACTGGGGAGGACTCACTCACATAGCCCTGATAGGTGGCAAACTGGAAATACGGTGCCTGGTTGTTCTCATCCAGGATTTCGATAATGAGGTCAGCATAGGCCGGGAGGGGGTGACCGTTGTCCTGTTCAGCCTGAAATTATACGAAAAAAGACAAGAGTGAGTCAAATAACTGATAACCAGTCTGCTAGAAATGTATTAAGAAGTACTAATAATGAGTTGTATGATTAAAGTAACACACTCAAGAGTTATGCTGTCCCAACTGTTATGCAGACATAAGGACAAAAAGTGTCATTTCAATTACAAAAAGCTACATTTATTAAATGCAATCAGGGGTCCATTTAGAATTAGACCTTAGTAATTACTAGAGCACTTAACGCAAATACCATCATTTGACGGGGAGAGGCAGTAATTAGTGGCTCTAACTACTCCGTCAAATTGGTGACCATTGATAAAAAGCAGGGTCAATGGGTCCGCTTCTCACTAAGTCAGTGCCAGAAATTGACCAATTAACTAGTAAACATGGCTGTCTCCATTAGTGCTTACTCAACTGAGCTTAAAACTGTCTGATTATGTACTCTGTTTTGCCTGAAAGCTTGAAATAAAATGTGGAACTGTTTGGTATGACACAATCCCAGTCAACATCTCTTCCTCATGTTTATTGAGCCACGGAAAACAACTCATTTAAATGTCATATTGCAAGATGGGATTCATTTTAATGTTAACAACAATTGCTGAATAAGGTTCAAGTCAGTTGTTGAGAAAACTAGCAATAATAAAAACAAATCCTACTACATAAAATTCATATATTACCGAATACTGAAACATGCAGTGCAATTTGATACAACAATGTTACAACACAGTTTATGCACACAGTTGTTGACACACCTGCATCCAAAACTAGCTTGTGTGTGTCGCATACTGCTCACCTACCAGAAGATAAACATCTCTTATTCTTCATGTTGTTGCACAGTTGCAAGTTACGAATGCTTAAGAAACACATCTAATTACCACAAATCAAAATGTGTGTTGTCCTAACTATCAAACTGTACCGAAACATAACAGAGCTGTTCTTTAACCTGAGTTGTGTCTTACACCAGCTTAGTGAAAGAAGTGTGGTCAGGCTGTCACTGCACATTTTTTCCCTCCGAGGCACATATGTTGCTATTGACTCCCACACTGGGATGCTTCAGAAACATTGAGGCTTTGAAAATACAGATGGAGAGGGGGTGTGAGGCGACATCAGTTTAAGCCATGACCTGGAACTAATTCTGCACATTAGCTCAATTTCACTGGGCTTGTGTTGCAGAGTGACGATTGTAACAGAATAATTTGTTTCTACAGCTAAATGGAAAAAATGCTGGGTCCAAAACTACTCAGAAGATTGCTGTTATTTGTATTGTTTGTCTTTTCTATTGCAAAATCCTGCTCCGCCGTTTTTGGCACATCAAGTTGAGTTTCACTACAGCTCATGTTTTTATTGGCATCGCAATGAAAATGCCAGGCAATCTTCACCAATCATCTTCTACCTTCCTTTCTTATCTGATGATAAAGAACACCCACACTGCAAGGACCCAAAGATCCAATCTGCTCACACAAACACCTGAGGGACAAGTGGTGTCATTGACAGACAAAGTGTGTGTGCCTCGATGTTCTCGCTATTTCTCAGCATTAACAAAAACATTTTCCGTCCGAGAGAGAAAATACGGGGTGTGAGATTACTGTGTTCCCTGGTGATTCAGCTCTTTAGCGATGTCCTTATTTCTGTGAGGCAGTGCTAAATGACCTGCGCTCCACAGCTACACAAGCCTGCAGGAGATTCACTGCTTCCCAAAGTCACTGTTTATCAGTCTTAATTCTGCTGTCCTGACTCCATTGCCTTAGAGCGCCATACTGCATTTCTTTGCTTCCTTGTTTCTATTAAACCACGCTATTTCTCTCCATCTGCCTTTGTCACTTGTCTTCATTTCGTCCATGTAATCCCAGTGGAAATAGCCCTATCAGGATCAATCATGACTTTGGAAGTTAAACAGCTATTTTTTTTAAAATATGCTTGAGGTGCTGCAGCTCACCCCATCCCATATATGTTTTGAAGTCTTTTAAAGCATTAGCTATGTACACCAGATGCTGTGCAGCAGAACTCTCAAGATACCAAATTCTAATTCTCACTTTCCTGCCCCTTGGAGTCCTTGAGCAACGGTTCCTCTCCCCCTCTCTATGACTAAGGTAGATAAGACTCCTCCAGTACTAGACACCATACACATATCTCTCTCGATCTTCGTTTTGTTTTGCTCTTTGAACTGTTTCCCTTCCCCTAGCTATGCACAACCCTTTCGGAGACATGCAAAAACTCTCTCTATATGATCAATCTCCTCTTGCCTTCTTCCTCTGGTGAAAATCAGCTGTTCCTCTCATCTTTTTACTCCACAGCTATTCCGGTAAACAGCCTGTTACACAGTGCTTAGAGGTGTGTAGAGGTTAGTGACGGGTGGATGGAAAATTCATCTGCACTGCTGCTCTCCACCAGCAGCACCGAGGCAATCCCTGACTCGGCTCCAAATTAGGATTCATGAGAGACTAGAAGGCTATCCTCCTGCTAAGTCCATAAATCATAACATATTTTTCACCCCAGATCTCCAAAGCAGCTAAAGATAAGGTTAATGGCCTTCAGGTTATCTAGGTGGAGCTGAAAAGTGTGGATGTTTAAGTTATAGAGAAAAGTACAAACTTGATTTGGCACTAGCAAATAAAAAATAAAAGCTCAGATTGAGAAGAATCTTTGCTTATAATAATCAGTGTTTTGGATTGGGCTGAACCAAAGACAAACAAGCTCCATTCGGTTTAGTAAATGTAACGTTTATATACGTTTTGGCCAATCGATTTTTTGACTTGTCTATTATTGTAAACCAATTTTGTGACCAAACATTCTTCAATTTCTCTGTATGCATGAAGAGTATGTGTACAAAATAAACAATACATCACAAGTACATTGCGGTCAAAAGTTTGTTTCGTAGTGGGTTTAGTTTCCATCAAAATCACACAGTAAATCTTGACATCAGAATAGGCGAAGTCCTTTTAAAAAAGGCAAGCACTGATTGGGATTGAGTTTTTTTACCTTGATGATGAGTGTGAAACGTTGGTACAAGTCCCTGCTGATAGGCTGCAGAACACGCAGCTCTGCAGTGGTTCTGTTCAGGGAGAAATACTCTCGGTATGCTACTGGATGACCTGCAACAAAAAAAAAAGAACATTCAAAGATTTGGATTCACTGCACTTTATGATAACGTCGAGGACACCGAAATGAAAATTCAGAAGTCAAGTCATGGTTGACGACCGACCCAAAGCACATTAAATGCGCACAATCAATCAGGATACGTGATGCACCTACCAACTAGGATGTAGTAAAGAATGTTGGGTCTGTTTGACGGGGGCTGTATGTTCCTGTCCATGTCCACGGCCTGGATCGCAGGGGTCACATTCAGTGGGTTCAGTTTGCTCTGCAACGAGGGGAGGGGGAGTCAGTCAATAACACGGCAAGATAATCAGATGCAAATCTGTTTATTTTCTGTTGACTGTCTAGTTGTAGCACAGCCATTGTCTCCTGAAATAAATTTGAGAGCATTATTATTCAGAGATGGGATTTTTAGTGAAATTCCACTTAGAAAGGATATCAGCAGCCCCGAAAAACACATTATGTCCTATTTATCATTATTTTGTCTGCTCTGTAATCTTATGTGACGTGTTGTATATCACTTGCAACGGTGCTACTCCAGATAAAAACAGCTCCTTAGAGAAGCTGCTGTGGACTTCTCTTCCTGACCCAAAAAACGGTTTCCTACTTTTAAAGTAGGATCAGAGGAGCTGCTGCGACTGGCCTCCTTGTAAACTGAATATTAGGAAGAAATGCAAATAATATTTCTGATATAAAATGAAGAACCAATGACCTGCAGGGAATTACATTAGCAGTCAAAGTCCGAAGCACACGGGTCAATTATTGGTATATTTCATTAATAAGCAATTCATTAGATCCCTTTCTCATCATTATGCTTCTAAATACACCATATCGAGCTGCGCATCAAGGTTAATCTGCAGTGCTGTAGGCTACCTTTTCCTGCTCATGCACACTCAAACATATTGAGCTCTCATTTACGCAGCTCTTCATCTATACCTTTGCTCCAACATATGGCTAAGTGGAAATATGTTTAGCGCATCACATTTATGAATACATCTCTTATGCAAAATGCCTCCATATGGCAGATAGAGTATGCGTAAGTATGCTAAGAGGCCTGAGCTAAACTTCCTTAATGTAGAGAGACACATGGCTAACATCTCTCTGGCAGGAATAACCCCTTCTCGGGGGGGTACATGTATATCCCTCAGCTCTGAAGTAATCCTTACATCCCCCCCCCCCTTACTAACCCTCTCGCTTTTACAATGTCTGGAGGTGCGCTAAATCAAATCCCTCTAGCGCTGCACAATGATGATTAGCTATAATACTCTCCTCCAACAGTCATTATCCAGTGGACTCCAGAGCCCACATTATATCCCCCCAGGGCAAAAAATAAATACAGATCAACTAAATAATGCCTGTCTAGCCATTGTGATTAATTACAATACACTCATCAATTATGAGACGACAAATCTCCCCGTGGACAGATATGTTAGCAGAACGGTTACACTGCAGAATAGAGATAAATCAAACACCAGCAAAAACTATAGGTTACTTACGTAACTCCAGTTCTCAGAGTAACATGAAGTGAGATGTCTCACTATGGGATGCGCCTCAACGCGTATGCAAACAGAAGCATCAATCTCATTACGCCAATCCTGATTGGCTGGTGATCTTGACGTCAACGTCAGGGAATCCACCCACCCTTTAAGTAGCCTGTGCTACGTCGCAGCGTCATTCAAAATAAGCACCTCTTCTCGCTTCACCTTAGCAAGAAGGGCCGTCTGGTGAGACATCTCACTTCATGTTACTCTGAGAACTGGGGTTACGTAAGTAACCTATAGTTCTCATTCATAACACTCCGTTCGATGTCTCACTATGGGATATTGAAACTCCCGTATTGCTAGACATGCTTATCTCGAAAATCACCAAAACAACCAGAACTTAACAGGCAGAACTCTGTCTCAACACGGGGCCCAGCACTGCGCGGGCCACACTTGGAGCAGAGACATCTAGCCTGTAAAAGCGGACAAAAGTGAGCGGCGAGGACCAGCTCGCTGCTGCACAGATGTCTTGGATGGAAACACCCTTGAACAAAGCCCAGGATGTAGCCAGTCCACGAGTAGAATGAGCACGCAGGCCCGTTGGTGCCTGCAAACCCTGACTCGTATAAGCCAGAGCAATCGCTTCCACAATCCAGTGGGAGAGCCGTTGCCTGGTAACGGGCTTGCCCTTCTGAGGGTTAGCCCAGGACAGAGCCCTAGAGAGATAAGGGATCTGGCCCAGGATATAAAGAGTTGGTCATTACAACGAAACTCTTTTGACCTGTCCATATAGATGCGTAAAGCACGAACTGGACACAGCGAATTCGGCCGCTGTTCCTCAGAGGAACACAGCGGCGGAGGAAATGCCACAATGTCAATGGGGGTACATGAGCCAACCACCTTAGGTATAAAGGCAGGGTTGGGCTTCAGCAACACTCTCGTTTGCCCCGGGGCAAACTGAGTGCATGAAGGATGTACAGAGAGCGCATGAATGTCACTGACTCGCTTGGCAGATGCCAGAGCCAGTAACAGCACTGTCTTCAGTGACAAGTGTTTCATGTCAGCTTCTTCCAGGGGTTCAAATGGAGGTCGAGTGAGCCCATCTAAAACCACTGCCAAGTCCCATAAGGGCACCAGTGACCTGGAAACAGGGAGGAGCCTGCAAGCCCCTTTCATAAAACGGCAGACCAAAGGATGTTGGCTAGCCGTCTTTCCCTCAAAGCCCACATGGCATGCAGCAATAGCAGCCAGGTACACTTTAATCGTAGAGAAAGCTCTGTGTTTATCAATTAAGTCCTGTAGAAATGATAAAATCACCCCGACAGGACATTGAAAAGAGATGTGTCCTTTTTGAAGGCACCACTCCTCAAACACCCTCCACTTACAGTCAGAGAGACCTGGTGGAGGAAGCTCTTGCACTCTGAATAGTGTTTATCACCTTCTGAGGGAGTCCCACTGTATTCAGATTGTACCACTCACGGGCCAGGCCCATAGTGCCAAGCGCTCTGGGTGTGGGTGAAAGATCGTCCCCCCCGCCTGGGAAAGTATGTCCCTGCGTAGTGGGAGCTGCCACGGCTGCCCGCACAGCAGCTGATATATCTCGGCCAGCCAGTACATTGCAGGCCAGTGCGGAGCTATCAGGATAAGTGTGTGGCATTGTTCTCTCACTCTGGCCAGAGTTTGGAGTATCAGAGCCAGGGGTGGGAACGCGTACAGAAGGACCGGAGGCCAAACGTGCGCGAGCGCGTCCACGCCTAACGGTGCGTTTAAATCGCGCATTGAAAAGAACAGCTGACATTGAGCATTTTCTTTTGATACGAACAGATCTACCGCGGTTCGGCCGTAACGCACCCACAGCTGACTCACAATTATTGGATGTAGAGTCCAGTCTGCATATAGGCTAGTGGTGCACCTCTGGACAGCAGATCCGCCCCGAGGTTCATCACTCCTGGTACGTGCGTCGCTCTCAGAGAGAGGAGACGTCCGCAGCTCCATAAGATCAGTTTGCGTGCCAGCATGTGTAACTGGAGAGAACGCAAACCCCCTTGGCGGTTTATATACGATATTGTGGTCGTGTTGTCTGTCCTCACGAGGACATGATGTCCTCTGAGAAAAGGCAGAAAGCGTTTCAGGGTGAGGAACACCGCTAAAAGCTCCAGATAATTTATGTGTGACCGTTGGAGGTCTCTGCTCCAGAGACCCCTCACAGGTCGACCTTCGTATATACCCCCCCAGCCCGTCAGACATGCGTCTGTGGTGACCACCTTCCGCGATAGGACAGCACCAATAGGCACGCCCCGTACTAGAAAAGTCGGGTGCAGCCAGTGGCGCAGTGCCATTACGCATTTCATAGTGACCATCACTCTCCGCGCGCCATGACGCACGGAGTCCAGTCTGAGGGCAGCTACCCAGCGCTGAAACTCCCTCATGTGTAAGCGTCCCAGTCGTACCACCAGAATGGCTGACGCCATGAGCCCCAGCAACCGCAGACATGACCTGAAGAGAACATATTTGCGTGGCTGGAAATGAGCGAGGCAAGCCATGAAGGCTTTCACTCTCTCTGCTGACAAGCGGGCTGTAAAGGGCACCGAATTCAGGCGTAGGCCCAGGAAGAGTACAGTCTGGGCTGGGGACAACATGCTCTTTTCTATGTTTATTACGAAACCCAGGTCGAGCAGGTGTTTTACGAGGACATTCGTCTGCGTAATAGCCTCTTGCTCCGACTGTGCGAGAAGGAGCCAATCGTCCAGATAAGTTGCCAGGCGAATACCCTGTTGTCTTAACGGGGCTATCGCGGCTTCCGTACACCGTACAAACACTCGCGGGCTGAGAGACAGACCGAAGGGAAGTACTCTGTACTCGTAACAGACACCCTGAAAGGCGAACCTCAGATATTTCCTGTGTGGGTAATATATTGGGATGTGGAAATACGCATCTTTCAGGTCGACTGATGTGAACCAGTCGTTTTGGCGCACGAGACGCAACAGAGATGTGTGAGTGAGCATTCTGAATTTGTATCTTTGAGATATTTGTTCAGAGCTCTCAAATCTAGTATAGACCGAATTCCGTTCCCTCCCCGTTTGGGAACGAGGAAATACTTGGAATAAAAGCCGCTCTGACTCTGTTCGGCGGGTATTATCGATATAGCCTTCTTTTCTAGTAGCGAGAAAATCTCTTGCTCTAGAATATGGGCCGACTCTCCCCGGGCCTGTGAATACAGAATGCCCAAGAAGTGAGGGGTGGTGACAGCGAATTGGAGCCTGTAGCCCCGTGTTACTGTCTTGAAAACCCAAGCAGAATCTGTGAGCATCCTCCACTTGTCGCTTCTCAAAGCGAGCGGAGATGTCACAGCTCTGTCGTCTGCCCTCAGTGTCTCTATTTGTTGTGTTATGGGGCCCTCTAGTGTCTGAACACGGTGGTACCCCAGGTTGACAACCCCGGCCGACACTGCGCATGCGCGTGGCGGTGGTGCCTTCACAATCCCGTCTATTGTCCGCCTTTTGAGAGAGGCCGTAGCTGCTCTCAAAAGAGGTTTTTCTTTTCATTTTTATTGACTACGCCCTTGACTTCAAGCCTGGAAACGACAGTGGAAAATGATTTATTCTGAAACAACAATGATGACATGTGTTTGTGTGACTTAAACAGGCAGCGGAACTTGCTGTCTTCGATGTTAAGTCCATTTCCCTGATGGCACGAACTTGAGGATGACGTTCTGGCATCACTCGAGGTGGCGGGAAGATGGGGGCATGGTGGCACCCCGAAAACACATGAGCATCTAACACTG